GTACATGGAAAAGATGAAATGGGAAGTCTTGCCCCACCCGCCGTATTCCATAGATGTCACCCCTTCTGACTTCCACCTATTCCGTTCGATGACACACGGCCTGACAGATCAACATTTTCAATCCTTCGAAGAATTGGAAAAATGGATTGCTTCATGCATAGCGTCAAAAGAGGACTCCTTTTTTCGGGCCGGGATCCGAAAATTGCCGGAAAGATGGGAGAAAGTTGTCGCTAGCGAAGGACAATACTTTGAATAATATATCTGTAAGCACTTTTTCGCAATAAAGCTTTTAATTTTGGAAAAAAAAAACGGCAAAGTTGTACACCTGATAAACTGTAGGCCCCTTCATTTGTTGGAAAAACATCGAGACGCAAAACCTCAAATTGGAGGAGCAACTCGGCCGAAAAATCGCTTCAGCGGTTACAAAACGTCAATTATATATATTTTATAGTTGTGGAGCAGTCTTTCAATTTGAGGAGCGAGGTGGGACTGTTGCGCCAAAATTTCTTAGTATTAATGTGATTGATTCTGCCTCTTTTTGGGATAGAAATAACTTCACCCTTAGTCCATAGACACACTTTGTAAAGTTTATATAGAAGTGAGTTTAAGATATCTTCAGTCACCTGTAGTTCAGCGGGGAAGATACTGTCTAATCCTGGAAATTGGGAGGGTTTGAATGACATTATCGCCCAAGGTCGCTGATATCAGAGAAACACTCGCTTGAACTATAAAAATCTCGAAAAACTTGATGTTCATATGGATATGGATATCCAGCATTTCAATGTAAGATTTGGTCTATATGCCATCTGGCTTTTGTATGTAGTTTGGTAAGGCGAAGCACTTGAAGAGAAATCTCCTAAATCTGTTTTCTTCAACACTACCATCAATGGCACTGCAGAAGGCCTTACTCCTACCTTATGCTGATAACATTACTTGGGTTACGCATCAGTATCTGTCACACTTGCATACATATATACACGTATTTGACAAAAAAATAAGCTTTTTATGCATGTATGTGAATTAATTTTATAGTTTAACACTTTTCTATATATAATATATATATGTACATATATACATATCTCGGTATACATTTTTGATAGTGAAAAGTGAAATCAAGGCAAAAAGGCTTAAAATTGAATTGTATCAAATCTGTCGAATATGTTTTTCGTTTTGACTGGAAATTATTTATTTCTTTTATCAAATTTTTTACGAAACTAGTGATTTCATAAATAAATACAGTTATTACGTTTTCCTATTTTACTAACCACATATATACTCGTATGTATGTGCGTAATAAGTTTACTTACGCTCAACTTTAGGAAAATTCGATAAAGTCTGCAGTGACACAGCGGCAGTTTTTCTCATGCACAACTTTTGTTTGCTTGAAATTTAAATAACGAAAAATGAATTGCGTAATATTAGAAATTTGTTCCAAACGCTCTGCTGATGGTTGCCTGTTTCTTACCACTTTGATTTGTTTTTCCTTTAACTGCTGCTGCTGCTGCTGCGGTTGCTTTAAATTTTCGCTGTACGCGTTGTTTTTTAGACAAAGCGTATATACACGTATGTATGTATGTACGTAATTACACAATAAATCACTAAATTTATTAGGAATACAAGTGTTTTTAAGTTTTAGTTATCGAAAATACTGGAAGTCCAAGTTTGATTTCAAGTTGTTTTTTGTATTTTTTTTTTGTAATTTTTTCTTTTTCTTTCTGTTTAGATTTTCACACTTTTCACGACGACAACTCCTTTCAATTGCGTAAAAAAATTTGACTTTGAAGTCTCCTTTGGTAGCGAGAATGACTACTGGCAAATAAACGCTCGCGTGCATTGTCACAGCACTTCCAATCGCCCAACCACCCCCTTTTTGGACCTTGCGCAGGTATGTAATGCGCATTATCCTTTCACATGCATTCCACTTGGATTCCAAAATGTTTATATAATTTGCTGTTTACTGAAGTTTTGAAGTTTTGAATATCCTGTTGGTTTTGAAAAATATTTGTGTTTACGTAATGCTCGCCCAGCAGAGTCGGTAATACGAGCAACCATGAATCGGTTTCGCACCACGTTTACTCTAGTGGTTAATGCTCAACTTCAGAGCCACCAAAGGTGCTATTAGTGCTTCGAAGCAGAGTATCGAACAAGACCCGAATTAGTCCATTCCCGAACTCGCGGAACGCTGTGCCCATGCACTTTATTTTAGGTTTTTCTGGAATGATCTTGGTTTGCAGATTAAAAAAAACCAACTCGTGCAAGAAGTAGCGCTAAAGAATCATCATTCGCGTGACACGTTTGTCGAATGGGTCCTAAATGAGATGGCCACCGATGTCGATTTTCATAAGAAAATTTCGTTTAGCGACGAAGCCCACTTTTGATTTAATGCGTATGTTCATAAGCAATCTAGATCTTTGTCTACATATTTCGCCAGCATTGACTCCTCTGACTGGCTTTTCTGTATCAAAACCTACTTACTGAGTGCTTTAAATAATTATGTAATTTTATAGCAGCTGATGAACAAATCTGGAGCTGCAAGTGTAACCGCGACCTTCCGCAATCGGTTTCGGATTCAGGGTAGTCCGGACAGTTACTGGTTTTCGGTAACTCTGAGTTCGTCGTTAAAAAAAATGTCGCATTTAAAAGATCCACAAAAGTCAGCCTATGCGCTGAGAAAAGCCCACTTCTTCATTGTAACATTAAACGCAATGGAAAACGCTATAGAAGCACGATTAATGACTTTTCAGTGCTTGAGTTAGAGGGTGCTGATGTGTACAATCTTTGATTCCAACAAGGTGGCGCTACATGCCACACAATCAATTTATTGAAGGAAGCTTTTGGTTTGGTGAAAGCATTATCTCGCGTCGTGGACCTGTATGATGGCCTCAAAGATCTTGGGGGGTTTAACACTTTGGAGTATTTTTTGTGGTGTTACGTGAAGTCGGTTGACTACTATAGATGAGTCCGAGGCAATTGATGTTTTGGAAAAGAGTATTGGGCACGTCATTGCTGATATAGTGTGAGAGCGGCTTTTCACGTTACACCCTTTGATTGACAGAAAGAAACGGGAAGTGAAGCGTCATATGCGCAAACTGCCAAACAACAGCGCTAACCTCAATTTCTTAAGAAATAGAAATGCCGGAAATTAGCGTATAGACGAATGTCTACAAATCTAGCATTACCGAAGGAATAAGCAAGCTAATAGTGAGTTTAGCGGATGCAAAATTGCCGAGATCCTCAATACGTCTCTAATCGCTCTAACATAACCGGAACTCGGCAACACATCCAGAAGGCTTCAGTAAAACCCACAGCACTACCATCACCATTCCTAACGCCTTAACAACCCAGATAACTTGTAGTCTTCTATGCGGTTACAAGGCTTTGTATATGAAAAGATTCGCAGCTAAAGGCTAGTTGCTTCGTCAGACATCCAGTGTATCTACCTAAGGTCTGAATAATGTAGTAGTATAAACACCTCCTTATCCAGTCGCGAACCTGACTACTCAACGTGTGGCCACCCACACCACATCTTTGCATGATCACTAAAACCAACTCTTCATAGTTGGAACTGCGGCCCTTAGAGCAACTAGAAGATGTCGATTAACTCTACCTTCTCATAAGCGCTACAACAACGGAAACGAGGTACGCAGTTCGATTGATGCGCGGAATCATCTTTATCTCAAATCCGTGTCTCAATCTCAGAGTATGTTAAGTGCCAAGAAATAAAATTGTTCGCGTAAAAAAGAATGCTCATCAGTTGTTTGCTTATATCTTAAAGCTCAGATTTGTCTGATGACAGGGGCAGTTTGAGGTTAAATTGGAAAGCATACATTTCGGGACAGAGACTGACAAACAATTTACAGAATAATGCTATTTGGGAGACAATTCATTTATTATTATCTTGCTCAGAAATGTTGACAAATAAAGTCGATTTCTGGCGGCAGTGGTGAAATAGTCTTATTTCTCTCGTCGATTCTGGCAGTTCACACGCCGTCTGCAATCGGTCCTTCTCGTTATTGGACGTTCGCTACACGAATGTAGATTTTTTCTTACATTTCTCTGAATTTCGAGCAAAACCGTTAGTATTTAAAAAAAAAATACTGAAGAACCTTATTGCTATAAATTTCTATTTCAGAATATTTTAATAAACTTTATCACTTGGTAAGTACATCTATAGTTAAAAATTCAAATTGCTCTTTTAATACTACTAAAGGCAAAGTTTAATCCTATTTCATTTCATACATATTTATAGCATCCCTGAGTGGAAAAGTGGAGTATATCGATCAGCTGATCTCAGCTATTTTTTTTAACAGATAATAGTTTTTCTACTTGTAGGACTTTACGATGCAACTGACTTTGGATAACTCATTGCTAAGTTTTTCACTAATATACAGTCGACTCAAGGCAAATTTACACACGGTAGTAACAAAATTGCATAAAGAAATATTTATATTTCATGTATTTTGTTTGTGTAATGAAAATTTCAAAAAGCCAAAAACGAAATATCAAAACCATTTTCTCATGTATTTTGTTTGTGCAATTTGTTGAAATGGAAGGAAGAACAAGAAATCGTATGATGTGACAACTTCACCTTCTATAAATTCGCAGTTGAAATCTGATCTGATGAATTTTTTCTGATTCCCAGCCGAAACCTCAGTGTTTGCGAAATCAATCACAATTGGATTCGGAACCGTGTCCGTTAACATTTTTTCTATTAAAAAGCTTCAAAATTGGCCGAAAACGACAATTATATAGAATATTTAAATATATTGGCATATATAAACTATTTTATGTTTTTAAAATACTTGCAATGATATTTTCTTTAGTGTTTGCCGTAATTTGTAATATTTCCTCAGTTTCAACAAACCAGGTTGCACAAACCTTATCTTTTAAACCATGAAATCACCGTCACCCTGTGTTATTTGGAAACTACAACCCTGCAAATATACGTGGTGTTCGAATTTTCGAAATGATTTATTGAAATTCGACTTTCGAACAACCTCATCTACCTGTTCGATGTAATAGTGTGATTACAATTATTTCATTTTCAATTCTTGAATCGTTCAAAAGTTCAACACTTATACGGTGCTTGTTATAGTTATATACAATTAAACGCAAATTAATAAATTAAAAAACGTAATAAAATGGCTGCCGAAGGAGGAATTAAAGTTTTCACACGCGAGGAAGTTTCAAAACATAACACAAACAAGAACACCTGGCTAATTATCCACAATAATGTGTACGATGTATCGGAATTTTTAAATGAGGTGAGTAAAGAGAAACTATTAAATTAAACAACTATTTAAGGAAAATTCAAACTTAGTAAAGTACGGGTCAATGTGCATATATATACATATATCAAACATATGGCGCCATAACTTTCGACCTTCTGTTATACATAATGGTATTTTTTTGAGAACATGTTCTGCATATTCATGCATATATACGTATAAAACAAATTAATAATTTATAACAAATATATGAATGATTTTGTATGTGTTTGTTAGACGTTATTACGTTTTATGATCTCTAGCATACAGGCTGAAGATAACAAATATTATTTTAGAAGTGCGTTCTAAATGCCCATTTGGAATGAATTTGTGTGTGACTAATGTTTAGTTAAGAATAAAAATTGTGATTTTTTTAAATGCTACGTAAATTTTGTTGGTATAGTTAAAGTCCCAGTTCTCCAACCTATAAAAACTAATAATTGATTTCATTGAAATATAATTAAACATTTTTTTGATAGATGCTTTATCAAGAGTTACTCAGAATTGATATTGTATGTGAGCGTGCCAATACTCATATAAGCTGGCCTTAGTAAGCATGTTATCTTCACATTAACATGCAAGTCATCATCCTACAGTATCTTAGATTAATATTTGTACTTTACTCCACATAGCAGGAGGAAATACATCTTATATCTTTAAACAAATCTACACCTCAACTAAAAACTATTTGTCATTGTTAACTAACGTATTGGCGCAGTTTTTAATGTCACTCCAGAATATTCCTTGTCTGCTTATTAATAAATGTCTGTCACTCAATGAATTTTCAGTTAACAGTGTTCAATGATTTGCATGTTTGTCCTTTTATTTATTAACAATACAAAGTGTTAGTGTAAAGCTAAATTAACCTTAAGGTTATTAAAAACCGTGTTGCCATTTGCATATTATGTATGTATATTTGTGTGTACATACGTCAATTTTGGCATATGAAAAGTTGTATTTTGCAGTATCAAACACTGCATTTTACTGGGTCAATATGTCAACAGCAATGCTCTTTCTAGACAAACCAATTTTGCTTTTTGCGATTTACGCAGTTTTTGTAAATACGTATATATTTCAATATTTCTATTATTTGCGTGCATAACCGGTTTTATTTTGTGTGTAGGTATACGTACATTTTAGCTTTATCTCAGTGACTTTGCTAGTATAACTATCTACATCTTATCAATTTAAAATATCAGTATTATATATGTATATACATACGTATACATAAGTGTATGGTTCTTAAGATCGGCCGAAAATCGCTTTAGCGGTTACAAAGTGACAATTAGATATATATATGTATATATACCTATTTTCATATATATAATACTGATATTTTAAATTAGTAAGATGTAGATAGTTATAATAGCAAAGTCACTGAGATAAAGCTACAATGCATATACATATACATAATTGTCACTTCGTAACCGATTTTCGGATATATACATACGTAGTTTTGTATATGCTTATTTAAAATTTTTTGCTAATTTTGTTAATGATCACTGGCTTTAATCGAATATGTATGTACATGTATGAATGTATGCAACAAAATCATATTAGTGTGTAGTAAATAAAAACAGCTGATTATTAGGAATATATAAATATATGTATGTGCAATAGTTGCTGAAAACAAGCCGGTTAAGAAGGCAACTTGCTCTATATAAGCACATTTATTTTATATAGGTACATACACATACATATGTATGTCAGCATTAAAATGCAATATTTGATTTGTTATTTATTGATAACAATATAAGTAGACAACTTGTAAATTAATTACATTAGCGTTAGAAAAGGTACAAAAAAAAATAATTATAGTATTTTGCAAATTTCGTATCTCTTTTTTTTATAGCACAAAGCACGGGCTTCAAAAAATAATAGTAAAACTCAAGTTAATTAAAATGTACACAGTTCAGTGTCAGCGGAAAAGCAATTAATAAATATAATTAATAAATAATTACATAGTATTTCATTTTAAATCATTATAATATATAAACATTTTGCTTCTTCAACTTTTTGTTTAATTATTTTTTATTATTTTATTTATTGTTTATTTAGAAATATTTTTTGTTGCTTGTTTTTCCCTTTTTTTTTCGCATATCCGCTTAAAAATATAATAAGTACAATACAATTTTTAAATTTATGTATGTATGCATATACAACATGTATAAATACAAATTTCCAATGACACGTTTAGGCATTGCGACAAAATGCAAATTGTGCGCCAAAGTTCAGGTGAACGGGAAGAGCAAAAGGGAACAAAAAATATGAATAAGTACAAAAACCGTATACACGTGCAATTAAATACATCTTGATAGATATATGTATGTACATAAATATGTATATTTACAAATGTGTTTATTTTTCTCTACATAACTTTCAATTTGCAATAGGTAATAGAAATATGCCTATTTATATAAAGTAAATCAAATATAAGAAAATGAATATATAATTGGCATTTATGGAAGATGATGTGTATGTGTGTATTCATGTTTTCTCTATTTATATGCATTTGGAGATCTTTTTTTTTGGAATCTCGAACTTGTGAGGCACGCACTGCTAACTGTTTTACTACAACGCTCGGTAATAGGTACATAAGTACCTGCAGAAGTATTTAAAAAAAAAAAACAATATACATATATACTTATATACAATGTAAAAAATTTCAACACGTTATGGCTGCGTGCTTAGAATATTCTGCTTTTTGTTGAATAAAACATTTTCAAATATTCAATACAAAATGAAAACTGAGATTTAAATATATGCAAAACTCTGTTTCTATTTTACATACATACATATATACATACATATGTATGTCTGTCACTTGTTAACGCAAATAAACTATTTATTTCACAATTGATTATTTTTACTTTCGTAGCATCCCGGTGGTGAAGAAGTTCTCATCGAACAGGGCGGTAAAGAAGCTACAGAGAGCTTTGAAGATGTCGGTCACAGCTCGGATGCGCGTGAAATGATGGCAAAGTACAAAATTGGCGAACTAGTTGAAGCGGAACGTACGAATGTGCCTGAGAAGAGCGAACCCACATGGAATGCGGATCAGAAGACGGAAGATTCTTCAATGCGTTCATGGCTGTTGCCATTGGTACTTGGTTTACTTGCTACAGTTTTATATAGATATTTCTTCAAAGTGTAAAATGTAAAACCAAAAAAAAAAAAAACAGAAAAAATGAAACGCAATCACGCTAACTTACATTTTTACGATCGATTTCCTTTATCGTTGAGCGGTAAAATTTATTTATAAAACCATTCCCCACTCAATTAATTAATTAGTTAATAAAAGTGTCATTTGCATTTATGTATATTTATAAAATGTACTTGCACAAAAAAAAATAATAACTAAACAAGAAGAAGAAAACAGTACCAAAAGATATTTCTAATATTTTGCATACAAATAAAAAGTGAGAGAAAATGGTTGCTGCTTGCTTAATAGATAAATTTTACCATATGTAATTTTTAAAAGATAAAAATAAAAAAATAAATCTTATACGTACATGTCTTTACATTGTAATAATGAGGAGGAAATTATACAAATAAATATGTATAAGAAATTGGGTAATTCGTTTGTTCTTATTTTTTAGTAAATATATTCAAAACGCTTAATTTTGTTGCTTCACTTCACTAGTCTTCTGTTTCAGCATTTAATATATTTAAAAAAATTAGCATACTTTTAGGCGCAAACATAAACGTTTTTGAAATACAAGTATTCATTTGTTAATCGAAAATTCTATTGAATTGCGTTGTGGGTGTATAGCAGTTTGAAATATATACGTGTATGTTGTTACTATTTACAGTCTTGGCCAAAAGTATTAGGCACCCCACTAATTACTGAATTTTTTGTTTTAAGAAGTGAAGTAATAAAGTTTTATTTGTAAAGCAGTGAAAATACAAAGAATTAGTGATAAAAACATTAATATTTTGTAGGTCCACCCTTCGATTTAATAACGGCAGCAATTCTCTTAGGCATGCCGCGTATAAGCTTTGCACATTCGTGAGCACATATAGCGTACCACTCGTTAATTAAAGCATTCTTTGAGGCAGTTGTTGATGTTATACTGTGTACCTTAATCTTGCGTTTTAAAATAGCCCACATATGCTCAATGGGATTAAGATCTGGAGACTATGCAATCTAACAAAACAATATTGTTATCTCTAAACCAACGCATCATATTCGCTGTTTTGTCACAAGGAGCATTGTCTTGCTGAAATTGAGCCCCGTCTAAATTAGTATCGACGAAAATGCGCGTTAATGAAGGCAGAAGTACTATTAGAAGCTGTTCGTCTGCCTTCATTAACGCGCATTTTCGGCAAAACTAATTTATGTCCTTTTGACTGTCCATGCGACCCTTGCAAACGAACGTTTCGCCGACAGCAGCTACACAGCCCCAGATCATAATGCTGCCTCCTCCATGCTTGACTGTGGGTACCACGCAATCTGGATGATATTCTTCTCCAACCCGTCGCCTCAGGAAAGTCACACCAGGTGTTTCAAACATCTGTAGAAATGAAAACATAATGTTTTCATAAGATTTGTGTTATGTCTTCAAAATTGATCTAGGTAAGAAGCTACTTTAAGACGATCTTAACTAAGCTTACCGCGAAGTTTGATTCATTAGACCACAGAACAATCGACCAATCTTCTTCTGTGAAATGTTGGTATCGGCAAGCCCACTCGAAACGATTTTTCCTATTCTTTTCTGAGAGCCACGGCTTCTTTCGAGCTTTACATCCTTTTAAACCTGCTTCCAGAAGTCTCCTTCACTAACTGGTTTACTAAATTCATCCGAAAAAGCAGCTGCAAGGGCAGAAGAAGATTTTTTGCGATCCTTGAGAGACTCGCGTAAGAGTATTCGGCCTTCCTGTTTGCTGGTTAGATGCATTCTTCTCCCCCTTTTTGATTTATAATTGTGGGATTTCGTCTCCTCTAATCGGCTGATAGCACAATGGACCGCGCACCGCGAACATCCCATCAAATTGGCAATCTCAACCTGAGACTTACTTTCTTCACTTAGAACTTGAATTCTAAATTTATCATCGTAACTAATTTCACTTTTTTTGGGGCTTTTCGGTAAATATGAACTGTTTTTATAAGACTGGTAACACTTTCACTTTCAGATTTTAAATGCGAAAATATTACATGAATTTCTAAAAAAATAAAATTTTTAGTCTTAGCTTATCCTGAGTGCTGTGACTTCTAATATTCCGTAATTTATTTGTTTAATCAACAGTTAACCATCCATATAAGACATTTACAAGAAGGAAGTGGTAACTTTGACAGGTACATTTGAGAATACTTGTATTTTAGTGAGGTGTCTTAAACCTTTGGCCAAGGCTGTATATAAAACATTTTTACCAGTATTTAAAATAAAGGGTTTGCCAATAATAGGTGGTATTTTGAAGCTGTGATTTTTTGACATTTGACAAGTGAAAACTACGCCATTCGTGACGCATTGAAGTGATTAAAATTCACTATAAAAGGTTGAGTTCCAAAACGTCAGTTTCGCAACCGCATCATTGAAAAGTATTTTGACGTTTTGGAACTCAGCCCATTTCCGCCTCGTTGAAAAGCCTCGCCATTCATCTTCAACTGGTAACTGTGTGTTAAGTTTCTGGTCTGGTGGGGTAATTGGAAGTAACTTTTTTGAAAATAATAATTCTTATGGCTGGAATCGGATGGTATTAATCTGGACAATGTTTGCTTTCAACAAAACGACGCTGTGTACGACACAAGTAATGAAACCATCGATCTCTTAAGGGAAAAGTTTCTTTGTATATTCAAATAGCAACTCTTATTGAAAAAGCCTTAGCATTGAAATAATTTAAATTGAGTTAACCAATATGAATAATATATAAATGACGGAATTTTTGGACGATCTGCCCCGTCAAGTGCCACAAGTGAGGAGGCTTCAAATCTTTCTGTTTCCAAAAGTATCTAAACTATGCCTTCGTATGAGTGTTACTCACCAGCCTATAGTACTCCACACTGTCGGTTCAGCATCTCAGACTTGTTTGCTAAAGCTATCTGGTGCCATTTTCGGCTATACTCACAAGACCCAAGCGGTTAACACAGATGAAGCACTCACTACCCATCCTCACCCTCCGTATTACGAACGCTCCTCCAGGACAGACTGCACCCTTGCAATTCATCATAAGGACCGCGAGCAAGATCATAGTGGTAGCTCAGCATTCATCCTACACAACACTGTGTGGTTTCGTCTTAGCGTTGTCGATATCGACCGCAAGTATAGCACCCTATTATGTCGAGATATAATGCTTCGGTCAGATTATGTCGAGCACATTTCAACTAACCTGATTGGTTTTGTTTCACAGAATTTACAGAGGTAACAATTAGTGCCCTTTTACTTAAACTGACGTTATCATTAGCATGTGGAAAGAACCCCTAACCGTGTCAGACCGTAGAAGTGCTTTTATCAGACATTTAGAGATACTCATTACCACCGGGTCCGAATAGCTGGATCATGAATTGCCTGAGTAGTCGATATCCTTCCTCGAAACTCTGTAAAATGGAGGAGGGTATCACGCATGATGGTATCCTCTCTCAGCTATTGTTAAATATATTTGGTATGTACGAAACTCCTATCATCTCCAGAGAGCGTTTGCCTGATCTCATAGGTCTGCTCGATTCGGGAGTCTGTCTCGAATATTGATAAATTTTCTTCAAAGACAAGCTGCTCTTTCCTACTTTTACCTGTTCTTCATTACACAACAACTGCAACCAACGATAGTCTCAGCTGCCCTCTATCAACTGGACGTAGGAACGACTTTAAAATTCCGGCAAAAAGTAGGCCAAAGTTACTGGGAGTAATATTCAGTAGCCTACACTCCTTAATACTACAATAGCTGCAACAAAAACCTAAAATCTGTATCCAGCAACCGGCTCGCCGCTTGCAAAAGCAGCCCCCGGTCAATCAATAATTTGGTCGCACCAATTCGACCTACTTGACCTAACGGACTCCATTCAAACAGAGCTCCTACCGAAGGGCCCTAAACACCACGCAAATAGAGCTCATTCACACCTTAGTAATCTCTCTTCTCATGAATGACATGATCAGAATCCAAACATCCAATAATATAATGGCCCCAATCACCTCTTTATTCCTTGTCAGAAGTACACTCGGAGGGGTTGACATTCCCTGCCGAGGGGCGACCGCAATTAGAGAATTATTAGTGTATAATTTCTTTCACAGGTCATTCACAGGTTAGACAGTCTAATAATAGTCGGACTTGTTTTTAAATTGTCATATTAAATGATGATACAAGATATGTGATACTTTCGAACTTTCGGCAGGACTTTTCCTTTTTAATTACCTCGTCCAAAGCTTAACGCACATCTTGGTTCGATAACAAGTCATTTCTATGCGTTTGGCAACTGGATAGTCAGCATGATACTGTAAAAAAAATTATATGTATGTCTTTCATTTAAACCGTGAGATTATTTTAAACAAAAAGAAGAGCTATGTATCTTCATCCAGAAGTCAGAAGTCGATATATCTTTTATGACAAAATAAAATTTATGGTATTTTATTTTAGGAACAACTAAACCGTTATATGGAGGCTACATGATACAGTTTATCCGATTTTCTTGACTTTCACTACTGATATTCAAGCTTTTTTGACGGATTAATGACGTAAAATTTTATATCTGAAAAATCGATCGTATATGTATGTGCTATAGTGGTCTGGACTGGCCGGTTCCTACGAATGACCGCCAAGTGCTCTGCTTGCGAAACTATATATGTATATAATTGGCGCTTTGTAACGATTTTTGGCCAAACTCTTCTTCCAATTTATGGTTTTGCTTCTTAATTTTTTTCCCAACGAATCGAAGAACCTACAGTTGATTTTAAGTCGCTCCCGAACGGAGTGAGACTTACTCGTGTATGGGCTTTTGCGCATCCGAATCCATGTTGGCGATAAATTTCGATTTTTCGCGATCGGTGTGCGCACATGTTTGTCGTGTGTGGTGCTGTGTGAAAACAGAAGGTCATTTTATGCTGCAACTACCCAACTTACATACCACACAGCCATAACACCCGACTGTAATGGAATATATGTACATAAAAACACGAGTATTTTCTGCGAGGCAACCGTCAGTAACGGCATCAGCAAGTGGTGATAACATTTCATTTCCATGGCGCTCTCATAAGAAAGGTTGCTGAGGATGGATGGTATGTAAGCATTATCCGTCGCATATGTTTACTCTTGAAAAAATGAACGTAAAATGAGTTGACATAGGTTGTCAAATATCTCCCTACCGCTTTTTTGTCTTTTGAATTTCGCGGCTATGTACAAAGCGCTACAAAGCTCGTATCTGGCAACACTATACATAATTTGAAAGGTCTTGATATAACCTACAAAACAACGCTGATTAGTTTGGATATTGCGTTCAAAAGTTATAGACGTGTAAACATGGAGTTCACTAACGCCGAAATTCGCGCTTTTTAAAGTTTTCCTTCGTTAAAGGCAAATCCGCTAGAGAAACGTTCCGTGAGATTAATGGTGTTTCGGGGGATGGTACTCTATCACTTCGAACTGCTGAGGAATGTTTTCGACGATTCAGAGCCGGTGAAAACGACACCATGGATAAGCCAGCCAGCGGAAGACCTGTGACGCCAAATACCGATCAAATCATGGAATACATCGAGTTAGACCGGCATATGGCATCTCGTGACATCGCCCAGGAGATGGGAGTTAGTCACCAAACCAGAAGGCTGGATACAAAAAAAATTTGATGTTTGGGTGCCGCATAATTTGACGCAAAAAACCTTCTGGACCGAATCAACGCCTGAGATATGGTGCTGAAACGGAACGAACTCGACCCATTCTTGAAGCGGATGGTGACTGGCGACAAAAAATGGATCACATACGACAATATCAAGCGAAAACGGTCGTGGTCGAAGGCCGGTGAATCGTTGACGGCCAGGAAGGTTTTGCTGTGTGTTTGGTGGGATTGGAAGGGAATCATCAACTATAAGCTGCTTCCATATGGCCAGACGCTTAATTCTACCATTTACTGCGAACAACTGGACCGCTAGAAGCAGGCGATCGACCAGAAGCGTCCAGAATTGGCCAACAAGAAGGGTGTAGTGTTCCACCAGGACAACGCCAGACCACACACATCGTTGATGACTCGTCAGAAGCTACGGGAGCTCAGATGGGAGGTTTTATAACATCCACCAAATATCCCGGACGTAGCGCCAACTGATTACCACCTGTTCCTGTCCATGGCGAATGCCCTTGGTGGTGTGAAGTTGAACTCAAAAGAGGCTTGTGAAAAGTGGCTGTCCGAATTCTTCGCAAATAAGGAGGGGGGCTTCTACGAGGAAGGTATTATGAAGTTGCCGTCTAGATGGAAACAGATCATCGAACAAAACGGCGCATATTTTAACTAAATCCGATCACTGTAACACTTGTTATAAAGCATTGAATGAAGAGCAAAAAAGCGGAAGGGAGATATTTGACAACCTATATGTCGTGTATGGCTACCTTTACCTATGTTATATTTTAATCAATTTGTCATAGGAAGACTTGGAAGACTTTCAACAACCTTTGTCATACGGATATGATAAAGCAATTGGTTTATTTCGCGACGAGTAAAAACTAAAATTAATAGCGCGTTCAGTCGTCAATATTTAAAAGATATTCGTGTTATTTATTTCATCGACTATTTAATTGCTTTTTTTACTTCAAAATTAACAATATATTAAATTACAAGCGTCAAAATCAAAATCTTTACAATAGTTCACTTTTCGTCCTCGCTCGCCTTGTCTTCAAACGCAAATGGCGGCAAGTACAAATTTCTTTAAACATGTATATTATTCAGACAATTTTTTTTTATCGATAAAAATAACCCTACGTATGAACGCTGAAATAATTAGTTGGTCTCCAGCAGTAATAATTCTCCTACAACACTACCAATCTATGTATCGAGTTATAGGAAACGCGTTGCATTTTCGTAGGAACACAAATCGCAATTGAAGCAATGCGCAAAGTGATATGAAATTAATTATGAACTGTACTACAACGGGCAATGGGAAAATTTTTTCGTTGAGTTATGACGCAACGTAAAAAAATAAGAATTTCAAATACGAATAATCATCACTTAAAAGTGGAAAAAATTATTTTTACAATACAGCAGTTACTGCCCAGTTTTTTTATATATTTTTTTCCTATAACAGTTATGACTCTGATCGAAACTGCCGAATCCTCTAGCGAACGTTTTTTCCTGCCCAACAAGCCGAACACGCCTTCGTTGAAGAGTTGCGCCAGTCTTTTAAAAAGCAAAGTTTCACCTGAAGTCCATTAATATCAATGAATTAAAGTAGTAATTCATAAGTTAATAATAGTTTGAAATTTATTGCAAGCCCAAATTTACGTAAATCCATTAAAAAAATTTCTTATGTGTAAGAAAAAGAATGTCCTAATGTTTCTTTATACCAATATTGGTTGAAATATCTTAAAAATTGAGGTACTAGTTTGTGTATAAACCGACTGGCAGACGGGCATGGCTGAATAGACTCAACTCGGTCTTTCGGGCTATATCTTCTCATACTTCAGGCGAAAGTTAATGTGAGTTCCAAAACGTCAGTTGCAAAGCAACCATACATTTTCCTAAATGCAACTGTGTAAACTTTGACGATGTATCTTGTTCCAAAATGGATCGGTAAAGTTATTGATGCGCAAACAAAAGCAAACTGCGCATCGCTAAGGTTTATGATGCTTTATTTTATCATAAATTCTTAACAACAACGGCCGACGTCGGAGAGCAAGGTTTTTTGCGTAACCGCATCATTACAAAGTATTTTGACGTTTTGAAGCTCGCTCTTTATATACCATTTCTTGTGCATGAAAGGTATAAAAAAGCCAGATAAAAGTTTTATACATACATACATACGATTACATGAGCTTTATTACATTATAAGTTACAATATTAGAACTATGTACACACTTGTGTTAATACTTATTTCCTTAAATATACATTCATACATATACGTATTTAGTTTAATTAAAATTTAATCGATTAATTCTGAGCTTACTTTTACATACAAACATACAAACAGGATACAAATATTAATCAATTCATTTGAATTTTTGGAATACAAATAAAACAGTCGCTTTTTTTGCACATTTAATTACGTACATAAACTTCTACATACATACATACATACATACATACATATGTACATACCTGCGAATACGCTTATACATACATACGCACTTATGTATGTATGTATGTATATATATATATATATGTATTTTTATTAAAATCTATTTATCGTATTGAACTTGTTGCATGCGCCTGACTTGCATGATACAGTTGTGTTTGAGTATGTGTTACGTCATGATTATGTTTCATATGTTGTTCGGATTGTTGTTCAAAAAATGCACAATTGTTATTGTTGTTGTTGTTGTTAACATTGATATCCTCCACCATCGGCTCATCTGTAGCATACCAATGGTTTTGATGTTGATGCTGGTGCGGGTGCTGGTGCTGATGTTGATGTGGATGTTGATGCGATTGCAAAATACTTAACTCTTGCTGATAATTACTTGCGGTACAATTGTTGTTGTCACCATTACTTATACGCCCATATTTGGAATAGGTGTTGCGTAAGTGATTCCATTCGGCGGGTGGCGAGTATTGAAGTGTCTGTAATCGTCCATTGGCGCTGTTGTTATTACTTGCTTGCATTTGGTGGAAACCGAAAGGCCAAGTCTGCAAAAAATATTTGGTGAAGTGTGAATTTTTAATTGAAGAAGGTACAAATAAAGGAAGGAAGGAAATAAATCGAAGTTCATAACATATAGATTTAGGGATTCTAAATAATCAGGGATGTTACAGTAACAGATTGTTGTCGGAATCAGAATTGCAACCAACAAAATTCTGTTGAAGAAGTTACACATTCCGATTATTGATTTGCATATATCGGTTTCATTTTCGCAACAAAATTTATGTCGATTTTAGGTGCTACAGAAACCGATTAATCGGTTTGAATGTCAGAATTAAATCGAACAGTTATTCGTTGAAGGAATTGTGTGCAAATTTCTTTGCCAGTGGAAATTTAATAAAAATGCAAGACATGAACAATGGATTTTACAACAAGCAATGCCTGGAATACGGTACTTGATGTAAAAATGGCCACGGGGTCTCCGTTTTCCATTGTCGTCCAATCCTAAATTTAACCAGCGTGGGCAATTCAAACGTTCAAAAGCCTTTAACACATCTGTTATAACCACAGAGACTTTAGGTCTAGGTCGCGCTAAGGAGATGTTTGAGTCTTTACTCACAGACCGTTGATGAGAGCATTCTGCCAAAAACCGTCGAATTGCTGCAATTTTGATCAAAGATGGAATAGACAGCCTATCTAACTGATCTTCAATGGCATCCATCATTATTACAAAAGCTTCTTTCTTAAGACGATATTGTTCTATGAATTTAAAGACCAAGGCAATTTTTCCTTCCTTTTATGTATATGAAATGGTAAAGAGTGATTTTTTAACTATTATCTTTTTGGCAAGACTGGTTTAAACAGCTGATACACGTTTTGCATATCACTGTCAAAAATCTTCAGTTTGGTCTATAGTTCAACCATGATTCGTCTTACAAACGAACAACGCTTGCAAATTATTGAATTTTAATCAAAATGCGTGCTCTAAGAAGGTTCAACAACAAAAATAAATTGTATTGAGTGACGAAGTTCATTTTGCGGGTGCGTATATATGCAGAATTGCCGATTTTGGAGTGAAGATCAGCCAGTAGCATTTCAAGAACTACCAATGCATCCAGAAAAATTCACTCTTTGGTGCGGTTTATGGGCTGGTGGCATCATTGGACTGTAATTCTTCAAAGATGATGCGAATAGTAACATAACCGTGAATGGTGAGCGCTACCGTGAGGTGATGTTAATCTTTTTTTTTGTCCCAAATGCAAGAGCTGGACTTGCATGCCATGTGGTTTCAACAAGACGGTGCCACATGCCACACAGCACGCGTAACAATGGACTAATTGAGAGGCGAGTTCGGTGAACATTTCAATTCACGTTCAATTGGCGGCCTTGATGGTGCGATTTAACGCCTTTAGACTATTTTTTTTTTGAGTTTGAAAAACTTTCCTATAGCTGTTAAAAAATCACACTTTATAATAACTTTGGTTCGAAGTATGTAAGTACTAGAAGGAGAAGAGATGAACCTGAACGGTCTAGGTTAGAATAACGAGTTAGCTTATGTAGTCAACCAGACTTGCTACACAGATGTAATGATACTTTTAAACGACTATTCGGAACCGGCCAGAAGACACCACCATCGCTTTTCCAGATTCGAGATCTTGGAGCATGAAATTTCTTATTTACTTACAACCGGATAGCCAGGGTTCCAGAACTGTTCCAACCAATATTTAAAGTTATTGAAAATCAATTTTTCATATCGCCCCTCGATAAGGAATGTCTATTTCTTACATAAAATAGAAGATCCATTTCAAAATCCATCAGCCGTTCGGAGGTGGCTTGGAATAAATAGCAAGACGCGCACCACGAATGGGAAGCGGAATTCGGTCGAAAATTAATTCTGAGGTTATAAGTAAAAAAAAAAAATTAAGATGCATTTTTCACAGGAAGCTATGATGATATACATACATACATATGCACATATCTACAAATTTAGACTATAATACCTTCCCAGCAAAACTTCAAGTCTCATGCAATAAAAAGGCGCCAAAACTAATCTAAAAATTATTGCTATAAATCAAAAATACTAAATCATTTCACGATTTCTTAGACAAAGAAAAAATTAAAAACTTAAAAAAATACAAAAGTACAAATGTTTAATGAATGTGGATCACCGCAAAGTGTGAGTGAGATGTGTGAACGGCGAACAGCTGTTGGAGGGGTGGCCGTTGTTTTGAGTTTGTTTATTTACACGAATGTGATTGCGTTAACAATCACTTAAACATAACAATAACAAAACAATTAACGGGCCCTATAAAAACAAAAGGCTTGTCTACAAAAGGGCGCATATTACATACCACAAAGAAAAATGCATGTGTTACATGTGTACGTACATACGTATGTAAATACATTTGTACGAGGGGATTAACAAAAGTTCGGTCAGTTGGTGACTTTCAAATTGGTTTTGTTAAATCTAAAAATATCAAATCCTTTGCTATTATTTAATTAGTCTTCGTTTAAAATTTTAGAACGAGTGGCTAAAATGGAGGCGAGAAAATGGAAGATAGCTGAGGATAGTCCAGGCGAAATTCCACCACCACCGCAAGCAGACACTCGCCATGTGGTTCTGTTCGGGTTTCGCCGTAATTTACAGCTAATACAAAATATTCAGTGAATGTCAATATGCATATGGAACGATTGCACTTTAAAGACTATTTATAAGTGGTTCCGAAGATTCCAGACCGAAAATTCTTCCGTAGAAGACGAGCTCTGAGAACGTCGACCGAAATCTACCACTGATGACGTCACTGTTGCTCTGGTAAATTCCAAAATTGACACAAGAATTTATTGCTAACGAATTAGGCTTGAATGCCATTGCTGTATCGCGAATATTAATTAATCATCTGGAATACACGCAAAAATATGCGCGATGGATACCCCGAATTTTAAATGAGGACCAAAAAGAGGTTCGGGTGCATTTTGCTCAAGTTTTCCTAAACCAATTCGAAAATGGCTAGTCTAACAACTTTAGTAAAGTCGTTTCTTTTGAGAAATCTTAGTTCTATAAGTACGATCCATGGTATGGAACCCAACAGGAGCGAACGTAGCCGTAAAATATAAGCACTAAAAATCAGCAGGGAAAGTTTACTTCTTCGACTATTTCATTGTCATTGGAAAAATCGTTGCCTTTATATGTATAGGTATAGGTAGGCACACGAAATGGTTCGATAATTTGAGAAGGTAGTAGTCTCAGCGGTGACGGTAGGAGCCTCAGCGGTATCCTAATGGCTCTATTGGCCTGGGGTTGACTAACAGCCGAATCAACTCTACTCAACTTAACTCAGTTTACCTCACCCGATCTAAAATCGTAGCTGCTATTCCACTGAAAAAGGGTCAGACGGTAACGAGTAATTTTATTGCGATCTCTGGGATCAAAGAAATACGTCCAGATCCATTCCTTGTGATTTCTGGTTATTTCCAAAAATTTACAAAAAAAAATTAAAAGAAAAGGTCTTTGATAGCAACAAGAAGATAATTAATGCGGTTAATGATGAACTTGAAATACTTAAAAAGCAGGATTTTGAAGACTGTTTTCAGAAGTGGTTCTATAGGCTTAAGAAATGCATTGAAATCAATGGCGATTATGTAGAGAAGATAAAATAGAACAAAGATTACGAATAAATAAAAAAAAAAATTTTTCTGGTCAACTTAGCGAACTTTTGTTAATCCCCTCGTATGCATGTATGTACATTGGTATTTACGCGGATACATAATCACATTCATCATAGAGGGAAGCATGCAACCAAATGGTGGTAGATTATGCAAATATTTGGAATAGAAATAGGAAAAAAAATAGCAGAAAGCTAAACAATCCGCCATCAACAAGGCAACCACACTACCAAACGTGGGCCCTCCTTTGTCATACTGAGCTCTCAACAATTTATAGGAGCAAATTGGAAAAGTCGCGGTATTTAGCAGTTTGGTGTGTGCCATGTTCATTCAGTAACATCTGTATGTATTTTGTATGTTGATTCGTTCAAACATAAATAGACATACATACATACATATGTACGTCGATATCAACGGTGATGCTTTCCATGCTTAGCTATCTACACAAGTGATTCTAAACATATATACTTGTTTGTATATAGATATCCTGCAGGGAAAAGGTAGACTTTTATGCAAAAATTATAGTTAAATACTAGTATTTTGAAGACGAAATCATTTTAGTTTGTTGTAAACCAGAATTATACTAGTACTTAAATGAAAAAAATACACTAGTTCACCATAGATTAGAATTATACTGGTATTTTGCGGACTAAATCATACCAATTTGTCGTTTTGCAGAAAAATAACACTCATAAGTGACTAGAAGCTGTGAACATATTTTGTTGGATTTAATGCTACAACAACAACAGCAACCATTTATTTTTGTGTTTTTTTTTAATTGTAAAAAATAATGAAGAGTCCTAATTAAGGGGTAAGGCCACTGTAAATGCTTCCAAAAATAGTTTTTTCTTTTATTGGCCAAAAACATTCTTTGTATCTTCTAGAATAAGGAACACGTATATGACGTGTCCAACATCGTTTTCATTGAAATTACGAGTACTTTTGGCGAGCGCACCAGACCGCTCCGAGATATGTACATATGTAAATATATATTATATATTTTGTTTGCCTTAAAACTTTAAATGCATTTTGCTCGAATCAAGTTTTTTGTAGTTTCCTCGCAGCATAATCAAACATTTTTGGAATATTTTCATTGGCGGCGTGTCCCAAAAATAACCGAACTTTTTGGATGTAAAATAAAATACACATTATATTATCTTTGAAAGTTATTATTTATTCAAAATAGGTTTCATTTGACTCAACACAACATTTGGAACGATCATCCAGTGCATGCATAAATTTTTTTCTGTCATTTATAGAAATGTTCTTCAGTACCTCGATTATGGCTGTTTGAATGGCTGGGATATCATCATAAAATGCTCCCTTCATCTTGGTTTTCACTTTTGGAAATAAAAAATAGTCACATGGTGACAGATCAGGCGAA